AGAAAACGTACCTGTAGCTGGATGTAAATATGTAGGTGACCGATTGTTTAATAAACAAAGCTGAAAGTTATCTATCAATTTTTCAGTTATGTTACCCTTATTATTTGTAGATGTACTGCCCCACATAGGATTGTGAGCATTAAAGTCGCCTAACAAAAGAAAAGGTGATGGTAATTGTCGAACAATACTTTCAAGTTCATCACTTGTTACCGTTATATTTGGAGGAAGGTATAAAGAACAAATTGTTAGTGGTCGATGTAAGGTCACCTGCACAGCTAAAGCTTGTAATCTTGTGTTAAGTTTTAATTCTTTTTGAGGAATGCAATTTGCGATAGCAATGCTTGTACCACCTGATGTTCTGGCGTTACTAGTGCATATATAATTATAAAGTGAATAATCTTTTATAGAGATATTATCTTTAGGAGATAACATAGTCTCCTGAAGACATAATACATTTGGAGAGAATTTAGATAATAGTTAAAGTAGATCATTGTAATTTGACTTAAGACCTCGGCAATTCCATTGTAGGATATAATGACTTCTATAATCCATATTAAACAAGCAATTATCATAGTATTGCAAGCAATCCATAAGTCCCCTACCGGTTAGACCCCAGCAACATTCTGATTTCAATTTTACCAGTGAATGAATGACATGAATGAACTTAAATCTTTTGAGTTCTAGGTTTGTCTATTTCACAGTAATGTGTTAAGTTTCCCTGCCTAGTAAGGCAATTATGTTTATACAACCTTGTCATATTATTACGATGTGGGATTTTAAAGTAAATCCTATAAGGAATTAAGAAGTTGGAGTAAAAAATACCAATTTCTCCAAAAAAAATCTAAGTTCAAGGGGGACATAATTCTGGAAATAGTCTTGCTAGAGTATTTAACCTTCTCAAAAATGTTGAGTGATAATAAGAAACATATATATGAAGTTTGAAGTAGATACATTAGGAAATAAAGAAGTTATTTAAAAAAGACAACATTTTTTCATAAAAATTCTAAGTTCAAGGGAGGTAATACTAATAATTTTTGTGCTAGAGTTGTAAACCTTGTCACATATGATGTGGTTGATGACCAGAAACTTATATTTAAAGTTTGAAGTAAACATCTTAAGAAATAAAGAACTTATAGTGAAAAAGCTGAAAAAATTAAATCAGAAATCTTGAAATCCAGGCTATTTGTTGCCATAGCAACCAGAATTTTCAACATAGGAAGAAAAGAAAAAGTTGTGCATAATTTGCAGACTGCCATCTACCCATATTTTATGTTTCATAAAAATATTTTCAGTACTTTTTGAGTTATCACTGGATCCAGTTTATGTGTTAAATTTGCCACATTTTCAGACTATTTGTTGCCATAGCAACCAGAATTTTCAACATAGGAAGAAAAGAAAAAGACGTGCATAATCTCCATACTGCCATCTATCCATATATCAAGTTTCATAAAAATATTTTCAGTACTTTTTGCGTTATCGCGGGATCCAGTTTTGTGGGCGGACGGACTGACGGACTGACAGACGGACGGACAGACGGACGGAGGGTAAACCTAAAGTCCCGGTAGGGGACTAAAAATATTTATATTAAGTAGGAAAATTTATTGGACTTCTGGCATTCGGAGTTCGAGGAGGGGAGAGGTATAAATCCTCATCCTCCATCAATTCGGTGTCGTGAAGTAGGTCGAACCGATTTTCTGTGTTGATCGGGTTCCGCATTGCTTTTTTCACCCGATCTGTGATGACAATTCGCTCTTTAGGCGATTGTTTTTGATAAACTTTCTCAGACGATGCTATTTGATTGTTTGCAGTTTGCTTCTTTGGAGAAGACTTTGATGGTGACTGAGTCTGCACAGAGGTAGACTGTTTACTTTGTGAAGCTGTTTGCTTTTTTTGGTAATGGTAACTTAAGTGGCGGGCATTGGCATAAGTTGACTTGTACTGCAGAGTCAACCATCTTAACAGACTTTGTAACTGCAGCTGAATACGACAGTTGTTTTGGTCCTTGTGATTCAACAAGCTTTCGTGCATCTTGAAAGGAAATATTTTGCGTATACTTCTGACGAAGAATTTCTTTTTCCTTTAACCACAAGGGGCATGACCGGGAGGTGGCGTAATGCTCTCCTCCACAATTTGCACATTTAACAGGAACGTTACAATATGAAAAACAAGATCAACAAGGAAAGGCGGCGTTCAATGAACGCAACCCCCCCCCCCAGTCTCATTGTTGTCATGGTTTGAGCTTCATCTGCGGCAAATAGTCTGCCTAACACGATTTGATTCATGGTGACCAAATTTGAAGCATTTGTAACATTGCATTGGGTTTGGAATGTAAACCGCAACGCGAACGTTAAGGTAACCTACTCGTATCGATGATGGGAGAATGGGTGTGGAGAATGTTAGAATAAGGCTATTCGTTGGCAGTCGTTTACCATCTCTTGTTGACTGAATGCGCTTGACATTTGACACCTGCTGTGATTTCAACTCCTCAGCGATATCTGCTTCTAGCATTCCAGCAAGGTCAGAACATCTGATGACGCCCTTGCTGGAGTTAAGAGACTGGTGTGGTGTGGCAGTTGTGTCAATGTTAAAAAAGCTGGTACATTTCAGAATAATGTCTGATTGTTGTTTCCGCTCTACCTCTATCAAGAGTCCTCCATTGCGGAGTTTCTTGACAGATTTAGGTGTTCCAATTAAAGCCGAAAGTTGTTTTTCTATAATGTAGGGGCTAAGTTCAGTAAGTGATTTGGAGCCGTTTGATTTGATTATTAGAAAACGGGGAAAACTTCCATCAAATGAAATGTTACCACTTGAATCTTCTTGCGATTTTCGTTTTTTTTGTTTGTGTATCCATGATTAAAGATATTAAAATTCGTCTCTCGGGTTCCCCAGCCACCTCGGACTCCAACACGGGGATGTGCGATGGAGACGGATATCCAGTCTCCGCACATCAAGGATACCAGAGAGATATACTCGCATAAATTGCAAATATTTACAACCTACACAATTAGCCCATTAGCCACCGCCTTCTTGGATATGTTATACTGTATTTATAATGCATATATGAAATATTGTTTTAACATAACGGCACCCATCATAGCAGTTTCAGTAGGAATTAAAGGTAAACTAGAAACACAAGTAGGAATAAAAATTTAAACTCAGATTTTTTTTAAATAATTTGTGTGCATTGAATTGTGTTCATTTCGGGACCGTGTAAGTTTAATGAAATTTTCAAGTATTTAAGAAATATATATCCAAGGGCAAGGCATGACCAGCCGATTGACCAAAGCCGGGCTCACTTGGTCACCCGTCTACCCTAAATCAGAGGCCAAAGCAGTGTGTTAGGAGTACTGGAGATCCCTGGGTATCCTTCAACTACCAGGACCCTCTTTTCTAGGTTACGGGACGCTGCCCACTGCAAACAGGCAGTCTGGGTGTTGGCCATATGTCCGTCATACAGGCGCACAGCAGCGCACCTCCATAACGGACATATGTTACTCCTCCTCACCACGTAGAGGTACCCAAAAGAGGGCGAAAACTCAGGAAACCTCGGCTGAAGTTGCTACACGTGGATCAACCGTGGAAGACTTATACGGAAATCAGAAATGGTGGAATGGTCTAAGTTGATTGTTACGAGATTTTAAGGCCTATGTGAAAGATCCCTTGACATGTTCAGAAAATGATCATATTGACACTTTGGAAAACGAAACTAACATGATAAGTGTGAACAAAACAAAAAAAAACAACAATTCATACGGGTGGATCTCCCCCTTTTCAAATAGATATAGATGCTAACTCCTCGTTGACAAGACTTCTTCGTGTGACTGATCTAATTATACGCTTTGTTTAAAGAAAAACTTAGGAAAGAACCTTGCGAAAATGAGCACTGAAGACAGAAGAAATACAAAACGCCGGAAACAAGTGGTTACTCCATATTCAGAGAAAACATTTTCTAGATGTGTTTGAAGGATTCGCAAAAGGAAAGCCGACAAATCTACAAACTCAGTTGGGACTATATATTGATGAATTTGGTTTATTGAGGAGCAAAGGAAAAAAAAATTGAAAACAAAGTGATCCCTCGGAAGCATTAATCACAACAAAATACAAGAGAATTGCATACTCGGTTTGATTGAGTCTGAACATGAGGGATACTGAATAAGTGCAACATCCCTCACGCCCCCTAGCACCGGCTTGAGCGGTACTCAATTCTCAACACTTAATAGTGCTGGCATCAATGATCCCGAAGGACCAGACAAATATAACAACACTGAAGTACGGGGTAACTTTTTACAGCTGCCACACAGCACTTGACACCTGCTGTTGTGAAGTATAAAAATCTGGAAACAAAGTGATCCCTCGGAAGCATTAATCACAACAAAATTACAAGATAATTGCAGACTCGGTTTGATTGAGTCTGTACATGAGGGATAATGAATACGTGCAACATCCCACACGTCCCCTAGCACCGGCTTGAGCGGTCCTCAATTCGCAACACTTAACAGTGCGGACATCAATGATCCCGAAGGACCAAAAAATTAAAACAAGTCGTCAATTTCTGTTATCAATAAGATATGGTACAATGTTATACATGATGAAGATGTCCAAAGTTAAGTTTCAACCGCCGGAATTCATTGGTCTTTCATTGTAGAACTCGCCCCATGGATGGGAGGGTTTTATGAAAGGCTTGTTGGCATAGTGAAGTAGGAAACTGCTCAGTTTGATTCAAATTTAAACTCTACTGAAAGAAGTTGAATCTGTGGTGAATTAAAGACCATAAACATATATAGGTGATGACATTATACACATGCGATACATGTAAAAGCGTGTTCAGATATCAAAGAAATTTAAAACGTCACATTATTAAGATACACATAAGAAGAACTAAATTATGAAAATGTCATTAGAAAGGGTGTGCAAAGGAATTTATGAGGTTTTTATCCAGACATTTACGGACTGTTCATCAAATTCCGGCACAAAAAGCCTCTGAACTTGCACTGTCCAGCATGATGGAAATTGATAAAAAGCTCACAATCAACTTCTATTATGAAAATATCAGTTCAGAGGAAGAACTACTTGAAAATGTGCAATGCCATCAAAAGGAATTTGAGGAGTGTAATAATCAATTTAACGTGAAAAAATTTGATGCTGAAGTGTCAACTAATATAAGCTTGTTTGTAACAAAGTAAGCAATTCATCAGTTTCAGAAAATAGTTTTGAAAATTATACAGATGACATTTATTTAAGTGTCGAAAAGAGTCAAAATATGAATTACATATGTCAACAAGTGAATATAATAAGGATGAAGATGAATTAATGGTCACGGGTAAATATGTAGAAATTCATGGTACAAGAAGTGATAAAGATTGTGATTTGACAGAAGATAAAGATGAAAGGGAAGATGATTCAATAAATAGAAATTACTGATAGTCTAGATGAGGATAAGCAAAAGTTAGGGAGCCACGATTTAGGAACTGATGATGGAAAGAATTTTGATGAAGATGGCAGTGATTGTAATGTAGATATGATGATGGTGATTGTGACGAATTTGATTGTGATGAAAATGACTATGATGGTGATTGTGATGAAAATGAATATGATTGTGATGAGGATGATGATAACTTTAATTGTAATGACGATGAAGATAATGATAACGATGATGAATTTTATTCAATGAGAAGAGAAGAAAAATATTCAGATGAAGATAACTGTATGGAATATGAAAATGTCAAGAAGGCCGAAGAAGTAGAAGGTGAATTATGTTATGATGAAAGAGATGGTGAACTGATCAATGTTATAACAATAAGAGCTTTACAGTTCATCACTCAAGCGTCTTTGTTTTGTGCCCCACAGAATATTGCCTTTTGTGACAATCGTGACGATTCAAAATATTTACATGAGGACATCATCTATAGAAAAGTTCAAGCATTTATTTAAAATATGATAAACAAGATCAACAAGGAAAGGCGGCGTTCAATGAACGCAACCCCCACATGACCCAGCAACAAGAACCAATGGCAAGGAGCCCAGGGGGACCCCAAACAAAAACAGGACAGGGCAAAGGCAACCTCCTTTGAATGCTCTATAATCATATCACCAAGTGACCTTTCATTTTTACCCATTAACTGTTATATTACACGGCTTAAACATCTTAAGAAACCACATTGATATCAATATTATATCATAAGTAATATACTACTACTCAATTTATTTCATTTTTCAGACGGCATAAGAGAGGGATTCTTTATGTTCGTGGTTATCAGTTCTGACACTAGTTGTGAAAGGTTGTCTGATGAGATACTTCTTGTGTTAACCTTTCTTTAGGGATTCTGTATTTATCTATTTTTTGTCAAATATCAGATAAGGAGCCAGTACTATGACGGTGCTGGTAAGTTACATGTAGCTTGAAAGGTTTTTATTCTATAGTCATATGTCCACATTACACAACTATTTCACTGGTATTAACAATAACAGGGAAATTGACAACAGTTACTCTTAAACGTTGTAAAGTGTAAATAACTTAAAACAATCTCAAATTATGCCTGTTATAACCAGATCAACTACATCCGCAGATATATCCGGATTTCTCTTCGCGATAACTTCATTCCAGTTTATCGAAGTGTTGTGACACGGTGTCTCAGTTACAACAAACCTCTCACAGTTTCTTTACAAGGTAACATCAACTGTTCCTCATCTGAATCAAATCAAAGCTATCAACGGCTTTCCTGCAATAAAAATCAGAAAACAAAGTGATCCCTCGGAAGCATTAATCACAACAAAATTACAAGAGAATTGCAGACTCGGTTTGATTGAGTCTGTACATGAGGGATACTGAATACGTGCAACATCCCTCACGCCCCCTAGCACCGGCTTGAGCGGTACTCGATTCTCAAAATATGATAAACAAGATCAACACAGAAAGGCGGCGTTCAATGAACGCAACCCCCATATGACCCAGCAACAAGAACCAGTGGCATGGAGCCCAGGCGGACCCCAAACGAAAACAGGACAGGGCAAAGACAGAGCACGGACAGCTTATTCATTAAATGATAAATAATTTGTAACTGATTAGGAATTCAAAGAAAAGGCCCACAAAGGGGAAGGGGACAGGAGACCGGGGGAAGGGGGGGGGGGGGTTAATCAAAGAAATAAAAACTAGAGGCAATGGGGAAGATACTTACCGTAGACGAGAAAACAACAAGGGACACAAGCAAAAGTGTCACCAAAACAGTATAAAACAACATTAGACATACATCTGAGGAACACATTGGGGCGCCGCCTTGGAACGGTCAGCAGCATAATAATGACTGCTGGGGAGTTTAAACCGGTTAATGGGGCACCAAACCTCGCTCTTAGCCCAACCATGTTCCTATAAACGAGACAGTGTAAATAAAATGAATCCCCGCCAAGTGAAATTCTAACAGTTGTCATGGTTACAAAAGGTTAAATAAGTAAAACACTAAAATGATCATGTAGAAACATATAAAAGTAAACCCAATGACCGTAACAAAAGTACTCAATGTCCTAAAGGAAGACAGAGCAACAAGAAAATCACCTACAAGGGCCCGACGAAGCAAGGCAGAAGACGAACATTAAGGCAATTCAGTCCCAAAGGGCTTTACGAACTATCCATCATAGAGTCTTCCACTTGGTCCGTCAGATGCAATCAAAAGAGGAAAGCTTAGTGTCCAACTGTAAAAGGGTTGAACACTAAACATGCAGTATGTCTTAAAACAGTAGGGTCATAACCTCTTTTAATAAAACGTTTAATGATTTTAGTAAAAACAGCAGAAAAATTACCATGACCCAAAATCTTACGAAGTTTGTAAATCACATCGCCATAAAAACCAGGCTGGCTAATAGTGGGGCGGGAAATTGAGAAAATAGTGCAAATTGTGATACAAGCATGAAACTTTCAGGAAATCATCTTTAGACCATGTAGATTTCAAAAGTGAAGTGGGCCCAAAAATATCTCTGCTCATTCAAGATGGCCGCCATTTTCAAAATGGCCGCCATATAAATTTGAGTACATTCTAGCTCATTCATTCCAATTTTTTGTACAGACCTTAAACTCACACCATAAGCATGCATATAATTTCTCCTTTTCAAAAATTTAAATCTCACAAAATTTCTCTTTCATACTTCTTCCAAATCCAAGATGGCGTCCAATATGGCCGTTGATTTTGTGCAAAACTGTTATATCATTTTTATAGTATAATTTGTTGCACAAATTATGTTTATTATGATAAAAAAAGTGTTTAAACATATCAGAGATAATCAAATTATATGTTAATCTCAATAAAAGTAAACATTTTAAAAGTGTTTGTCTAAAAACGTCTTTAAAAAAGATCAAGAAAAAATTCCATTTTTTTTTTATATTTTTCAAATTTGATTTTCTAAAGTAATGTACAAAGTTAAAAAAGTTACTTTATATCTTAACTGTATTTGACATTCCATTAATATCATGTGTTAATTGTAAAGAATGTAAGAAAAGCATTAAATCTATAGGTTTTATATTTTGTGAAAGTGGGTGGGGTAATTTTATATGATAATTGTGAAAGAAAAATCAACAGAAAATCTACATAGCTAAGTTCATTCTATTTCTTTGCCTTTTTACTTTTCTATGAAGTCTTATGCAAATGTTCCAACCTAAAAAGTACTTTTTATTTGATGAAAGTATTTTTGTCTTCCTTCGGGCCATTTGGTGGGTGAGCAAGAAATGCACATACAAACATGTGTATACATTCAGTTATTAAATTTGGTTGCATGATAATTCTTGTTTCAATATATTTGATATCATATATTAATTGTTAATCGTAAAGCCATATAAGAAGACAATAAATCAACTAAACGTGCTTAAAATAGCAAACATGTACTTGAATGTAAGGTATAAAGGTAGTCCATAAACGCATATTTTTGACTCCTCCACAATTTAAATTATATTTATAATATAAACATGGCTTAAAAGCCAACAAAATGTATGTGATGTGAAACATATATATCAATGATATGGCCTGGCCTGCATGCAACTTTTTGAAAAGTTAAGATACAAACTATATAGCTAAGTGTACTAGTATTTCCTAAAGTAATCATATCTTATTTTTTTCTTTCAATAAGAGGGTAATGATGACCCTGGATCACTCACCTAAGATCATTGTTGGAAAAAAGGTAACAAGATCATTTTGGGAGTGTCAATTATGTCATAACACACATGATTTGTGTCATAATTGAATCCGGTTGCTTTTAAAGAAATATGCTCAATATCTGCTTTCAATTTTTTTTATCACACGAGAGAACTTTAATAACCATATCTATATACGAGTCCATATAAACTTAGTGACCTTTTGTGTTTGGTAAATTTGGACCATGTTGTCCATGATATATCATTATTATAACATAATTATGATGATACATGATTAATGTATATGCGTCGGATAGTGTAGTTTAAGAGAAAACAGATTTATTACAGTAGTCTTTGTAAATTAAGTGATACCATTGCAAAACCATTTTAGACTGCAGTAGCATCATGCAAATTTATGCATGTTATATCAGTCTACATCCCAAATATCTTATTTCAAGTCAATGAAGTTTAACACTAGATGTTTTTAATGTGTTTTCCTATACAAGTCTGTGAACCCAGGTGGCTCTATGAGCATGATTCATTAAATGTGTTAATAAAGACCTAAGGTAGTGCTACATGCCAGCTTAGTACATGTGCTCTATGCATTTTGATTTTTGAGAAGATTTTTTTTATTGCATGTACACTTCATGATACTTAATGATACAAAAGTGTTTTATGTAACTTTTAAAGAGGTCTTCTTTACTTGGCAAGGTTATATTTTGACTATCTAAGCTCTAGGCATTACAGTTTGTTTGTTTGTTGATTTTTTTTAATAACATCAACAACATAACAACTTCAATGCGATTCCCTACACAAGTCTTTAAAAACTGTGTTCCTCGTGAGGGCCTTTAAATCATGTTCCTGCAGTCTAAAATGGCTTTCCCTGTCACTTAGTTTACATTGACTTATATATTAAAATTCTTCTCCGAAACTATGTGCACAGAGAAGAGAAAACATGGTATATCATAACATTGTGATGCTATATAAAGATTATAAACTATTGACATAGGGTCAAAATCACTTAGTTTACATGGACTCTTATCGGAATATAGTTATATGAGTCTTCTTGTAGTTCTGAGAGCCTAGTTATTGGACATGATTCTTTAAATCATGACTGGTGAAAAAAAGATACTCCTTATATGATTGTAGCATTCTTCAGTATAAAAGAATTATAGACCTTTTCCAGCAGTGGGTCTTAGGCGCGTGATCTAGGGTCAACAATGCTCTCTTGTTTTATGGGAAAAATAAAGTAGGAATACATTTAGTTTATATTCCAAAGTATAAGCTATGTTTGTTATGTGGGACAAGCGGTTTTATTGATACCTATTTTAGCACACCTAGTCATTAGATAATATGATGTATCACTCGCCAAAATTTTTGTTTCTTTTGAAAATATCATGTCTACATAAGTTATTAGAAATGGACGGTACTTATTCAATTATACTTGGTTACAATGATGTGCAAGTAAATATAACTTTGAATCATTCTGTTACAAGCTTTTAGCAAGACTAAATTGTGCAGGAAATAATTGTATTCATAAATAGACAACATTTCACTAAGGTCCAGGCATGATTTTATCTAACATATGGTTCGTTGATGAATATTCAGTCTTCTTTCTGTACAATTATCAAGTTATATTATGACTATTGAAACAACTTATATCATGCAAACACATTTAATAACTGAATGTATACATATTATTGTATCTGCATTTATTGATATTTTAGTACACCCTCTAGACCTGAAGGAAAACAAAAATACATTAATACAATAAAATACATTTACAGTGAATATTTGCATAAGAATTCTTAAAAAA